CTGATTTCAGCTTCTGACTTCAGCTTCTGACTTCAGCTTCTGATTTCAGCTTCTGATTTCAACTCCTGATTTCAGCTTCTGATTTCAACTCCTGACTTCAGCTCCTGATTTCAGCTTCTGATTTCAACTCCTGATTTCAGCTTCTGATTTCAACTCCTGATTTCAGCTGCTGACTTCAGCTCCTGACTTCAGCTGATTGAACGCAGATTACTGTCTGTATTTAATATACAGCTACATCAATGTTTGATGTAGAGGAAACCTTTGCAATACTCTAATCATTTGTGTCCAACAGGAAGACAGAATGTAGAAATTAAGAGATTCTGTGTTTTTGTAAAGGCATCTAAAATATCATTTGAAGACTGTCAGAGCTGTGGAGCCACAGTTTTCTAAATTTACTGTGAAAACGTTGAACCTTTAATGACTTCTTGGTGTGAACTGAGTTGGTTAGTGAGGAGGAAGATCAACTGGGTTTCTTTTTTATGAGTAAATTACAATATGTCATTAAAACTCAATAAAATACGAGGCAAAAAGATTTAGTTAAAGATTGTTTTAGTGTGCCTATTCTGCAGCACCCATCCACGTATAAAGAAAGAGTATTTAATGTACATATCTATACTCTAAGTACATGAAACAGAATATAAAAAAAATAAAATGAACTGCAGATAAAATAGAAGGATAGTGAAGTGATTTTTGTCAAATAATTACATGTTATAGACTAGAGCATTAAGTATGGAGAAAGAGAATCCATGCAAGGCTAACGGCTAACAGAACATGCTCTGTTGTTTATTGTTTCTTTCAGGTTAATAAAAATAACCCTTTGTACAAAACAACATCCAGGTGCGACACAGAACACCTCATCAATTATTAAACCTTCACACTTTTACACAACACTTTGTTCAGTTTGTTGCTGTTTTCCTAATCAGCAAAATGTTAGTACAGTCTGAGGGGAGACCACCAGAGACCTGTGGTGCTGATGTTGAATCAGACCAGCCATGATGATCAGACAGCTATTATTTGTTTAGTTTCAAGGAACTGTTAAAAAAACCCTGAAAATATTTGGGTTTGTAGACTCACTGAAACCAGGGGTTTCCAAACTTTGTTCCTTCTGAGCTCAAAAACAACTACACAAAACACTGAGACAGCAGTAATCCTTCATTAAACACAACTATACACACAAGGATTTTAAATAGTGTAAAACAAAAAACAAAAAACTAAAAATAGCTTATTCGAGGTGTCCAGTCCTGGTCCTGGAGGGTCTCTATCCTGCCAATTTTACTTATTCATCTGCTCCAACGTCTGACTCACCTCTTCAATGTCTGCAGAAATCTGTTGCTCATCCATTTATCTAAACCAGTGGTTCCCAAACTTTTTATCTTCTGACCCATAAAATATCCATGGCAAAAACTTGTGACCCCAAATATTACTGGTCTGAGTACATGAACTTTGTTAATAACCCTAAAAACACAGGCTTTTTGACAATCTAAACAGCTTATACACAAATATAAATACTTATTTATACTTATTTTGTGTTTTTATAATAATTATAGGGAAAATATTACATCACCAATTATTTTATTACCCTTTAAATTGATTTCTGGAGATTATCCAAGGTGCTTTATGACACATAATTGGGTCCCAAGCCCAACTTTGGGAACCAAAGTGCAGTGGTTCCCAAACTTTTCAGCTTTTGACCCACAAAATAACAGTAGCAGAGACCTGTTCCCCCAGCTATTTTTGGATGATAAACATTTGTATCAGGTCAACTAAACATGGGCATAGTAACAATATTTTTATACTACATTTATACATTTTAAATACACTAACCTCACTCATTTGTAACAACTAAGGCAACAATGTAATTAATTCAGGAAATCTTGTCAGGACCCCACCTTGATGTTTTGGGACCCCACTTTGGGTCCCGACCCCAACTTTGGGAAACACTGATCTAAACGTTAGAGCAGAGAAACCTCTGAAACCTGCAGGATGGTGGCCATGCAGGTCCTGTAAAAACCTTTACCAGTAATACTTCAAAATCATAGAATCAACCAGTTTAATTAGTAGACCATAGAATGGTTCTGCTATTTGAAATTATTTGACCATAAAGAACACAATAAAACATTGTCAGAAGATCCTGCTTCCTTGAATGTTTGTGTATAAATAATAAAGTAAAGTTAATTTAAGTTAATTAAATTGTTTGCTTGTTCTAATCTATTTAGCTTGTTTTTTTCTTTTAAAGAAATCCACAGACCATCATTCCTTCACAAAACTGCCAGTGATAGTTTGAGGAAATATTAGTGGGAAAAAAGATAAAAAGCAGTAAACCTCACCTGGCTGCTGACACCTCCGGCTCTCTGCAGCTGTGGAGAATTGTGAGCTTTTTTACCAGCGAGGCATTAAAGTTTAAACATAAAGAGGCAAAGGTTAAAGATCCAACATAATGTGATGCGTCTTCACAGAAACAGAAAGAAATGTATTCATTCTTAGATTTCTAGGACGTCTGGTATCCTTTAACTCCTTATCTTGAAGTTGCGGGGAGATAGTTAAACAGTTTCTAACTCTATTTGTGATCTTTGACCCGCGGCTAATACCACTGATCACCAAAATCCTGGAGGGACAAAAAAAAAGGTTATGAAGATAAAAACATAACAGAACATCTCATAACTATGTCAGCTAACCCTCTTCAAAAACATAAATAAATGTAGAGATTTAACTTTTTTGAGATATCAAACTGGAAAACTAACTTTTGCACTGAAAATAGTTAATAATTCTAATAATGACCCAAAAATGAAACGATAAATTCTGAGACATCCTAAAGTTGAAAGAGGTTTAAGCAGATTTTCTAACGTTTTCCATAAAATTCTTCATGAAGAAAAAAAATGTGCCGTTTTAAACATGTACCTCATTAGCACCTTCCACCTCCTTGTTTTGTTTTGTTATTATTAATATGAATTTCAACCTGGAAAGACTCACACAGAAATATAGCAATTAAACCGTTTTAGTGATATGAGAAAGTTCTTTGGCGCTCGAGCCCCGCCTGAAGACGTAGGTGCAGCAAACTGCTGAGAGCCAGAAATCAGCTCAGGTTTTAGGTATAACGCCCCCCCCCCCCCCCCCCCCCCC